CGCGAGTGCTTTTGCGTCGGCGGACTATACGCTCGCAACATCGCATACTAACTATGACGGTTGCAGAATATGCGACTAGAACGACATCTATAAAAACGTTCAATGCATATGTGCATATGTAAGCTCATCCGACAACTTACCTACGATAACGGCAAACAAAAGCCAATAGAATAGTGTTGAGCGGCGCATTTCTCCTACGAGTACGTAGAGAATTATTGAAAAGACAATGGTTGTAATGCTGAATTTCTCTTTTTTATTTTCTTGTGCTCTGCAGTTTTACCTGAATATGAATCCGATAACTAAGAATAGTATGTCCAACACCAAATGTGCCACAAATAGAGCGCGTCGGGCCAAACATATTCCCAAACAAAAAGGAAACGCTGTTAGAAGCTTCAAAGAGTGAATTTCTTTTGTTCCAAATTAAGGCAGCAATACCTGACAAACACACCAAACATCAAACAGAGCACGAGCTACACAAACAGCCGATATGGTGAAGGATGATAACTGATCCTAGAAATTAATTAGCATAATTGGTGGCAACTGTTTCACGTAGAAAGCGTGAGACATTTTCATTGCAATAAGTACAGAAAGCGGTTGAAATTGAGAATTGAGATTTTTACTATTTTTTAATTTCAGTTAGATGTGACGAACCTGAAAAGGTATGGACTGATTCTCATCAATTACTCGAGGCTTTGCAATAGCCGAAGGAAAATCCATAAACCCTTCGTCAATGGATTTATCTTGGCTTCGGTCAAATCCATGCTTAATTGGTCTTGGTCTTTTGGTACTTGGGAAAGTTGGCTAAAAATGCAAGCTGTTGATGACAAAAAACAATGTTCAATATGAATACAATTGGGGTAGTTGTGTGAAATGACGAAGCATGACGTTGAAGTTCGTTCAGAGTTGTAAAGAACCATTCGGACGATGGTGGCGTGGCTTTAACTGATTCATAGTAAATGGCGACAGGCTGTTGAGTAGTGGTTTTTAAACTGTGGTGGTTTTTGTTTTCTACTAAGATAACTTGTAAATCATCATCATCGTAGTATACAGTATTGGGCCTGGCTTGTACCTTCTGGAAAGGTATAGTTAAGATTGAAATTGAAAAAATTATCCAAAAATAAATCAAAAGAAAGAAAACCTTGGTGTGCAGTTGTATGGGAGACGAAGTTGTTGTAGTTACAAATTGATTATTATATGTTGTATTGGTAAAATGATCGACACTATAGGGGGGAGAGGAGACAACAATTTGCTAAAAAGAAATGAACAAAGGGTTCATGCTCGTGTTCATCGTATAAACTGACGTCTTTCTGTATTATTTCGATGTTATTCTCTTGGTTATCATCAGCTATTAATCGCTTATCGGAAGAAGAATGTAAGGATGAAGTTGCAAAGGTTGTGAAGTTCAATTCATCCATTTCCCACATCAAGCGGGTTGCCTATACATTAAATATGGGTAAAATAACAAAATATAAAAGTTGCATTCATCAAGGAGTTGGTTACTGGTTTACACATGCTTGAATTTCTAACTTTTAGGTTTTTGAACGGAAATTCAATAATCGCTATCGTTCTTTTTATGTTATGTTTACCTTCGATAACTTAATTCCATCATTAGAGTTGTCCTTTGGTTTTTTTGGTTTTTGGTTTGCCTTCTGCATTTTGAAACTTCGAATGTGTCCTTTAAAGAGCGATTTTCAAACAAAAATTGCAATTGTTTACCTTGGTTGGGAACAGATTGCTGTCGTTGCGTTGTTTGTGGACCTATTGTTGTCACCGGAGAACTATCGACGGTAAACAGGTGTCTTGGAGCCTTAGTTTGGTCCGTATCACCGTCTGAAACATTCGTTTTCGTTGGGGATATAGCTCAGTGGTAGAGCGCTCCCTTAGCATGGGAGAGGGCTGGGGTTCAATTCCCCATATCTCCAGAATTTTTTGTTTTTTGATATTTAAGTAACATTGAATTGATTCACTAATTTGTGTAGTTTATAAGTAAAATCAGAGATTTCGCGAACCTTTACGGTTTTTTTTCCTGTTTTTCTTGTTTTTCCTCTCTTTCTTCTTCTTCTTCGTTACAGGAGCCTCTGTTGTGGTAGTTGTACTTGTCTTTCTACCCTTTCCTTTTCCTTTTCGATTCTTCCTCAATGGATCCTGAACAACACGATTTTCATGAAAAGAAAGGAAAAACATACAGGCAAGCCACTTAATCTATTGACTATGGGAGATATATAGATTACAGTTTCTTCTGAGTTATCTTCTATGTCTTCTTCAGAGGGCTGTATGTTTTCAACTCTTTGTCGTATCGTTTTAATTTTCAAAGGATTGTTCACTGCGCCAACAACAGGTAAAATCTAAAGATCGGAAAGAATAATGAGAATTAACCGAAAACAGAAATATTTGATTTTTGAGCTTATCCACGTGTTTAAAAATGTTCGTTTCTTGCTCATTCCAGAAATTTGGTTATGCTTGAGGTATTGCGAGAAGAATATATGATGATTTAACAAAAACCTGTGTGTTTGTCATTGTGATGACTGTGGATTGAGGGTTCTTTGGCTTAAATGATTGAATTCGAGGATCTAAGATGTCAACTATATCATTGGATCTGCAATGTATCTGTTGTACAACAATATTCTGTTCGAACATCAACCTTTTAGGACGATGATGATCTGCTGTTGAAGAGGAAATATCGTGGAAGCCTTGAATTAGAAAAGAACAGCCAACGCCAAAGTTTTCATATTCTATTTAAGAAAATGTGTCAGGTAATTAGTTTGTATTGATTACCTCGCCAGAGCCAAGCAGAGAACAAAGCTGATTTTGCTAATAAAATGAGAATAAGTAGAACGTGTGCTGAGCATCCCATATATCTTGCTGGTTTTCTTCAAATTATCATAATTACAGAGAGACTTGCATAACAAACATACGCATTTTGTGATGAATGTAGAACAACTCCGGAACGAATATCAATAACTTGTTGCTGAATATTAGGCGGAGGAGGTAATGGGAAGTCATCTAGCATATCCTTTTCTTGCATATTCAAATACATCCATAAATCTTAGATTGTTAACTGTATATCATATATAGTTAATTATGTTATTGCCTAAACTATTAATAATTAAAGTGAATCTGAATGAATAGCAAAGCACAAGATGGAGAAGACAAGCAGTATCTGTTAGATGTTAGGGGCGGAGTTTTCGTATGGAAAGCTCATCGTTTGTGGTCATGAAAATTGAATTGTTAACTGGTTTGTGAGTTAAAACAGACGAAGACGATGATGATGATTGAAGATTGCTGAGCGTATCATAATCATCCATCGCTCAACTTAGGTTACTCCCATTCTCTCTGCGTATCTCCTGCCTCTCCTATGCGCATAATGCCTTACATGTTCACGGATTTGAAGCTTCTTGCTCTATGTTGCCATTTGCTACTTTCGTTTTCCCTTCTTCTCACTTTCCAGCGTATTCTTTTCATATTTTTTCGTTTAGACAAAAAAAGTTTGCATAAAAAATAATCGAAGATTTAAGATGACAGGATAAAACAAATGGCGATGCATGTTGCTTCTTGTATTTTGCCATTTGAATGACGAAAATGAGACAAAATGTCAAGCTAGACAAAGAACGAAAAAAAGGAGTCGAACGAAAACTGTCTGGGAGAAAAACGTTCGCCTCAACAAGTTGTCCAGTAGTTTCAGATGAAGCAAAAATCATTTGGAACTTGCCATTTCTAATTTGATTATTGTTTTGGAACTAACTATTGAAGAAGCTCATCACATGTGGACAAGTCAATAAATTTTCTTTCATTGGCAAGAAAAAATTTCGCTTTTTTTTTCGGAAAAGGGTAACATGCAGTAAGATTAACTAGGAGTTCAACCGTTCATCGGGTTCAGTAACTAACGAATAAAAAATTACGTGAACATTTTCACGTAAGTATTACGTGTGAACTTTGGTGTGAAACAAAGAAAGATGACACATGAAGGACGAAGATAGAAATGACCAGTCAAGCGAAGCTTCTGAATCATTAGTGAACATTTTGTGGTAAAGGACATCTTTGGCTGGCTAGAAGTCGAGCTACTTCAAAGTTTCATAATAATTAAACATAAAAATATTATAAAATTTGGAGAAGTTCTTGAATAGCGCTATGATATTTACATGGAGACGTTATGTCAATAAACTTGTGAAAATGATGTCAAACGTTGAATAAACTTTTATATTTCTAAGTTTTCACACAAAATACACTTACATCTCATCTCTAATATACTTTATTTTAAATATAGCCTCAGGCGATGTCTATGAAAAAAACCAGGGAATAAGCCATCGATGAAAGGCTTTTGCTTCACGCCGATCACCAGGATGGATGGAACAAAAGGAAATATCAAATTACATAAAAAGGGAATACGAGAAAACCATTAATTCATTCGCCCTAACTCTTACCAGTGCAGCTTTTAATTTTATTTCAAAAAGGAAAAAAATAAAACAAAAGATTTTGAACAAACAAATAATTTATGGGAGTAATTGGAACATTAAGAGAACAAATGATAAAGAAGAGGCCGCAATGGTGCTCAAATGCTAATTTTCCAAAACTGTTTCTTCGGGAAAGGCACAGGATGTTTTTATTGATTTTTGAAAGTTTTCTATTTGCTGTTGTTCAGTTTAATTTGTTTTAAAGTAGATTTATGAATATTCATTTTTCTAAAGATGTTATGAAGCTAATGATTGATGAGCTTGTAGACGTCGTGTCTCTCAAAACAACGTTTTTTTTAGTTCCGAATTATTATTGAGCTTAGTGGGTGTATGTGATTAGCGCAGACTTTTTTTTTTTTGAACTGAGACTCGGCAGGTGCTTCATTTTCTAAATTTGTTTTCGATTTTTAACATTTTAATTATTTAACGAGGAGAGACAGATTCATAGCGGGAGAAGATGTTGCTGAAGAAGGAAGTTAAGGAAAAGTAACTGCCAGTTACTAAGTTTGTTTGGAAATGTTTTTGCGAAAGTGAAGTGTGAACAGTTGTATGTTGGAAACTGTCCGGTTTGGATTACGAAAGTAGAATTCACACTTTTATGATAATTTGAACTAGATTAAACGTTAATATTTGGAAATGTTTTGAGAGATAATCTATTAGATGAAACTGAAATGTACCTGGTTAGAAGGTTTTGATAATTAATTATAGTTCATAAGAAATGATTTGATGATAAATTGAAGAGAGAAGAGTGGCAGGAATCGTTTAGTTGCAAGGAAGTTTCCTTCAACAGCTTATAAACTTTTTATGAAACTTAGATGGGAATCGAAGACTTTAATGGTGAAAGTTTAAACCGCGAGTAAGCATTGAATTTCGAGCTTCTCTTATGTTGAAAAAAGTTTTGAGAAGCTATGAAGAAAACAAGATGTGTTTTAGTCCAAAGCCGAATGAAAGAAGTCCATATTGCTTTGTCTCCAACTCATTCATTTCCTCAAATCTCCTCTACCTGACTATTGGAGGTTCATAAGTGAATGAAGGAAAAGGAGCGACTGCCTTGATTATAGTAGTTCCGTCTCAGAAACATTGTTTTAATGCAAGATAATTATGAGAGACATTGAATGAAAGAGTAAGCTGAAGAAGAAGATGACTACGAACTCTCACTGAGAGTTCAATAGACCTATAGAAACGGAAACTCCGTTGTGCAAGACAAACTGGAGGTTTGCCGGCGGTGCAACTTTCTCAGAAGAGTAATCGTGATTCTCTCCTCTTATGGCTATTACGCTGGGAAGCTTTCATTTTGATCATTAGAAACAATCCAGTATTCGAATAATTTTTGTTTTCTTTGTAATATAAGTTCGCTCACATTCTTATGACATTATGAAACTGGAAGGAAATATTGTTGAAATAGAGAGGGAGTCGAAAGAGAGAGAATGGATACAATTGCGGCTAAGAGTTTATGCTTGAGTAATCATCAGAAATATTTGAAGCGACTATTTTATTTATTTTAAATAACGAAAAAACAAAGATAATCGCTCATTAACTTCACTATACATCGTGCAGGATTTTCGTTTTAGGAAAGGGAAGGAAAAGCTCCAGCCCTCTAGAAATTAGCTGTCAAATGTAAGAAAAAGGCTCCACTAATGATGCTAATAAGATTGGAAAACATATAGAATTGAAGACGATTAACACATTTCCCTCAACTTCTCCAACATGATGTGTGTTATCACTGACAACAAACACTCCCCATTAAGTACTTCGACTGTTTTTCTCTCATCATATTCGCTTGCCGAGCAGAATGTATCTGTGTCACATCTACCCTCTCTAATGTAGTTTTCGATTTTTAAGAAGTTAAATGTTCGGTCATCTACAGAAAATTCTCAGAAATTCAACCCTGACTACTCACGATAGAGTTTTTCCCTCAATTTCATACTAGTTGTTCAACACCGTAATGATCAATTTCAAAATCGGCATATGTTCTCACTAAACACCCCCCCCCCCCCCGAACATGCAATCAAGACGATTGTAATAGAGAACTACTTATCCATTGCTATTTTCTTGCATTTGAGAAATTTTAGGCGAACGCTGATTGGTGGAGCGACTCAGGAATGCTGTATATGGGCTGTGTTTTTGACCTCGTTCAAAGTACAAGCTCTGACTCGATCCATAGCTGAACAAAGAAAGAAACCGGAACAACCGGCTGATATCTCGTGCAACTTCCTCGCCATTATTTTGAGGCTGTGCTCATATCCTATACTTTGAACGTTTGTTCTTAACAGTGAATTTTGAAATTAGCAAAATCACTATGAGAAGCATAAATTGAAGTGATACTTGGAAAAGAATCTTCATTCAATATTAAAGCAATCGCAACTTCCTATTATGTCTATGGAACAGTAAAAGATGAAAAAAATTGAATATTAAAGTGTGGATTAGGTAGATTTTCAGACAATATGAACAATGCATGTACAGGAAAAGAGAATACGAGGAAAGTCCCCTGAATGAATGACAAGAAAAGCAGGAAAATGAAGTCAAGATCAGGTTATTAAAGGTTGAGGTAAGAAGTGTTAAACATGAATTAGTATTGTTAACCGTTTATATGGAAAGCCAAAGTAATCTTGCAATCTTATGTGAACTATGTAGGAAATAACTGATATGGGTCTATACTCTGTATGACAAGCTATAGTAAAGGTATAAAACGTTTTGGGATCAGGAAGAAACAAAGGTAAATTTTATTGTCATGACTTATCCATTAGATGAATCATTCGTTGTTGGACGAGTGGATGAACTCGTAGTATGCCGATTGGGTGAAGCATTCGACTGAAGAAATAATGACTTAAGACATTAATGAAATGAGAAATATACCTGGTTACTTGTGTTACCGTCTGAGTTCTCGGAATACATCGGAGGCTCAGGTGGTCCAGGTGCCAAAAGTGCTTGATCGTACGATGGAGGAGGATCGATGTGTTTGGCAACGCTATCACTATCAACTCCACCTAAATTAAGAACGTATTCCATAATATCAACAAATGGAGAAAATTACCAATCATGTTTGGATTGAAGGTAGGAATCGTATCTAGGCGGATGATATAAGGCGGACCACCAGGAGGGGGGTAAGGAGCAGAACTTCTGGCTAAATGACTCAGCCCCAGCCTCTGTCGTTCACTAGGCAGTAGAAATTCCTACAAAAACAATCTAATGAGCTAAAGAAACCGAATATATTATACCTGTGCCTGATGTAGATTCGTCCTACGATCATTATACCTACATGGTTGTTGAACTGATCTAGGATTCGGTCGTCGCCTCTCACCATGTCGTGCCTGAGTGATTTGTTGGCTTCGCCTTTTCCGCGGGCACCAATCAATCCTACACAACGCACAACAAAGAAGAAAAATAATTAAAAAAGCTATAGGAACAGCTAAAACACTATAAGGTGCAGTAAAATTCTGTAAAAGGTAGGATATAAACCGAAAGAAAGTAAAAAAACCTACTTCACAAAATTTGCCTGTATAGAAAATACGAGAAGAACAATCACAACTCCAAGTATCATTTGACTTGACTAACAACGCTTTATGAGCACAACGTACAGTTTCACAATGTGGTCCATCAATATATAAAGGATTTGGGCATCTGAGAGATGTAGAGTGTACTATGGAAAACAAGGAAAACTACTCACTTGCACTCATATGCCACAGGGCCAACTTTGGTTTTCATCAATTCACCATCATTCAAACAAACTTTCCTTTCACACGTAGGTCCCTAAAGCGAAAAAGATTTTTGCAACAAATATGAAAGTGATGATACCTCAAAGAGCCTTGGACATTTACATTTCCCACCAGCCATCCGTTCTCCACCATTTGCACAATTCAATTGGTTTATACCTAACATCTCTCGAACACCAGCCCAAACATTATTAACAACTTTGAGAACTGAAAAAACAAAGTGAGAATTAGACCAAATAAGGATAAACTGACGTTCAGGTTTTGCACTAGTTGTTGGAGCTGATGTTGATGAAACAGACATTAAAACTGGCCGTAATCCCGAAAAACTTGTTGATGTACTTTTTTTGATGAACGTGGAAGGATTCGTATTACTTGTTGAATTTAAAATTTCTATTTCACGAGATACTGACGATGACTAGAAGGACGACAGGTGAATTGAGGAAACTTCGACGGAAAGTTACCTGTTGTTGTATTGATGTCATTGCCTGGCTTTTACCCTTTAATATGCACGGATGAAGAACGTTTTGGCGTCGCTCCTGAATAAGGAATTGTAAAATGAAAAAAAAGTCGACAAAAAATAAACAAGAGATATAACACAGGGTTCGGAACCCAATAAATAACGAAAATGAAGAACATAAGTTTGTAAAAGAAAAACTTTAAGCAACGAGTATGACTAGAATTATGAGCGAAACTGACGACGAAGAAATAAAACAAATTAGGAAAGCTGAAATTCTTTTATAGTCGTTTGGCTTAACACCTGCTCAAAGGGAACCTGTATAGAACACCCAATGTATGTTAATAGAACCTAATTAGGAAAAAACTAAAGAAAACTCCGATGAGATTCACTTTGTCTTCTCAACCGAGATGGAGTTTCGATATCCATTGGAAGCAAAGCAACCTGCTCTTCGGCCACAGTTCCAGCCAATAACCGTCCGCCTGTAAAGCAACTCAATATAGAAAGTTATGGCAATATCAAGCAATTATCAAAAACATGCTCTTCCAAAAAAAGATAAGCGAATACACATTCTAGGGAGACGAATACGAACAGGCCAAAAATACCTGAGACTTCTTCAATATCAGAGTCTGTTTCTGAAGCAATACTTTCAACGAAACCGTTTTTTTAAAAAAGCAGAGCATATGTGTTGGTGGATATTTAAGAAAGAAATGAGAAAAAGAAATATTGTATCATACCGTCACTTCCTCCGAATTTATGACGATTGCGTCGTTGTGAAGATGATGGATTAAGTTTATGATAAAGGGAGGACACAATATTCTTTGACGGGGGAGGTTGTTCTATATTGAAATCTCCTTTGCCAACTCTAGAAGACAGAGTAATAAATAAGAGATGTGATGAAGAACAAACAATTTGACAAACTGATTAATGAGTGAACGGAGTTCCATGCGTTGCTCGACATCAAATTTCTGAAATATTATTAAATGAAAAAGATAAAAATCTATGACGAAATGAAAAATTCTAAATGTTCATGAATGTTTGAGAAAAAGAGGAAAACAAGTCATTCACCTGAGGTCCGAGTCTCGCTGCTTCATGTAAATATGCAATGCGATAGCAGAGACTAGCAGGTAAAGCAGGAAATTTAACTCTAAGACTGAAACGCGAACGTAAAGAGAGGAAGGTCAAGCTAGAGATTTACCGAGTGAGATAATCTACCGTCTTCTCTGCTGGCTGACGCTCATTACCGAGCTTTGCCATCAATCCATCTGAACAAGAATTGAACATGATGAGGTTATTCAAGTCGTCAAACCTATTTCTAATGCGACTTCATCAATCGCAATCATCCGATTAACGTAAGGAGTATTATTATCTGAACAGGCACATGATCAATGCATTACAATTGATAGAACTTACGTTGGCAAATAGTAGTACATTCTGTAAAACGCGGTTGATAAGATAGACGCAGGTTCTCAACCCGCTCCAATTGTAAGTCAATCCCATTTCGGGCTTTTCTTAATGGAAACAAGAGGATTAATGGAGTAAAGGCGCTTACTTTGAAAAAGGCAAGTTCACATTAGGTTTATTCCTGGCGCTGTTAACACGCAGTCGAACTATTTGTCGTCTTGCGAATATTCCCATAACCAGAACAACCTGAATAGACGCTAGTAGGAGTACAAGAACGTTAACCTACCAGCACACAGGTTGTAACCCCATAAGAGATTTGATAAAAATCGAACGGAATATAAAACATCCCAAGGAACATTAATTTACATTAAAACGACATCGTTTACAATCTGAAGTAGTTAATTAACGAAAAATCGAAAAGACAACAAAGCAACAATGGAGCATGTTTAGCGGCCAACCATCGGTTGACCGTCAATTTCAACGTAACGTTAGCAGAAAAATATCAAACAAGAGGCTATATTTCTGAATTGTTTTTCAATTCATATTACGTAGAAGAGTTTTGGAAAATATAAAAGTGGGAAACATAGCAGTGTCCCATATCCCCAAGTATTACGAGGGTCATTTACATAGTGAAGAGGATTAGAGAAGCGAGAGTGGTCGCTAAGTATAGATAGAGACGCAGAGGATACAAGTATTGCCATAGACTGTGTGATTGTATGGCCACTGCCGGATAGGTCACGAAGGACAGTTGGTCATATTTCTTTATTATTTTTTGTCCTGTCAGAAACAGCTTGACCAAATATAGGAGGAGTGTTATTTTGCCGCACCATGTCAATTGCTTATGGGAGGAAACAGAAATGAGCCTTAATATGTAGGTGGGCGAAGAAGCTTCTTATGACAAGGATGGCAACTTAGGCGGAAATGAGATGCTTCTAAACTAGGCTAGAAATGACTTTCATACATTCTAGTCCGCTATGTGTATAGATTGGAAGCTATGGAATTGAATTGAGTGGAGTAAGCGTGAGACGAGATTCTCTTCTCATCATTAGCGGCCATAAGCGACATAATAGTTATTTGAACAAAAATACTTCTATTCATTCTATTTAACCTACCTTCTCTCAATCTTTTCTTATATAATTTTCCTTTTTTGTTGACATAAATTGAATATTAACCTTCAATTCCGAAATGACTAGACGGAATTCGTTTCTACAACTGACTTGGTCAAAGAATTCTTTAGAGTGATAGGCTATTCCTGCTTTTTTTCTAAAATCTTTACATCTTTTTGTTGAGAGAGAAGGTGACTATAAGATTCTCGTGAATTATGAGAGGAATTAGCGATGAAAGCATTGAATTACATCTGAGAAAGGCGAATAGGAAATGATGAGAAATGAGTATTTAGAATATGAATTTAGTAAAAGTCATTACATTGACAGGAATCAAAGAGATTTGTAAAACGTTCGCCATGTCAGAAAATCAAGAAGACTAGTGGTGTGTGAATAGAAGAGAGAAAATGAATGAAAAGGGGGAAAGAAGAGATGAAAGGGCGGACGAGAAAAGAGAGAAACAGAGAGGGAAAAGGGAGGCGAGAAAGATGATTGGGAAAGATGTCGAGATAGGTTGATAGATGTGGCAGACATTTAGTCCAAAGCTGGACAAGTTGAAGAGTCATCAAGTCAATCAGTTACAAAAAATATAAGAAGTTTGTGAATATGTTCATAACGATAGCATTACTGGATGTTGGGGAGCTGGCAGAATGAGTCATTATTCGCTACGCAAAGGATTGCACAGTTCGAAAACATTTTGAAACGACTAGTAAGACGAGAAAAAGAAGACAACGATTGCATCCAGCACAAGAATGTTATGAATGTTTTATATTCTCACTGAGGTAAGGTGTCAAAGGCATCGCTTTATAATGTGAACGGAGAGAAAACGTCACAAATGTGACATAATTTCCACACGTTCCTCACCTGAACATATTTTAGTAAAAATCAGTTGTTTTCGGTTCTGGAGGAAGAAGTCGTGCTGAGTGAGTTGCGAAAATGAAATGAAAAAAAATGTTTCAAGCAATGTCCTTTTTGAAAAATTTCAAATCAAATTATGTAAAATATGGAATTCCCCTCCACATAAGCCCATTTACGAGCTCTGGAGGTACTTGGCGGAGCAAATCATGTAAAAAGAAATATAAAAATTTCGAAAACTAACTTTTGAATCTTCTTTGAAATCTGCATGACGTCTTCGTCATGTTCTTAAAGCTTTCGCCTTCATATGAACATGAAAGACAATGTCTTATTGGGATCAAGGCGTCCAGTCATGGAATAAAATTCTTAAGAAATAACAAAAAAAGGCTAAAAGGAACTCATTGCTAGTAGTAATATGCAGTCCCAAGAGTTGCCGTCTAGCTGAGTATAGCTATGAGAGAATACTTTGATGAGTTGATTTAACCATGCCACGAATTCGCTCAATCATTGTTCAAAGCAGATTATAGAATGATAAAATGCAATAAAGACAACTATGCAACACTCATGGATGGCCCGCTGGAAGGAATACTCAAATTACTTGTCGTCTGAGCGATTTCATTTTAAAAGGACAGTTCCACTAATTGAAAATGAGCTTCACAAATCAGTTGAAACTGGCTGTTTTGGACCCAATAATCTTATTAAGTACCCTTGAACTTTTAAATATTTAAAAGGAATGCAACTTATGTCGAGCTCGGAGTATTCAAAAGGTATTAAGCTAAGCAGCTGCATTGCCCTTAGTCATAATGAATGAATGCATAACTTAGGAAACATCACAAATTTATTAAACGAGTTCCAGTTTCGGTAGATGTTTATGCTGAAAGATTATGTGTCTTCCATGTTTTTACAACCAACATTATCAGAACAAGTTATTTGGTACGAAATATGTTTTAATTTACTTCAAAGTACAAATAACTTCTCACATTGAATGCAAATGAGAAAGCTCAGCTTAGATCAATCAGAGTCATCAACAATCAATAAAATTGTACAAACATTAATTATATTAATAAATAAAAACCCGTCAATATTGTTATAAGAGAGGTTATGTATCATGTACGAATATGAGCAGTTTAGTTATCGCTTCACTTGAAAGCTGTTAATCAACACGATTGGCGTTGTCTGACTCATTGATGTGGCATTGAGTCTGTAAAGGTATTCCTCAATACAAATATTAAACAAACTAGAACCCACCACTTTGTTTTTTTGATCCATCCAAATCCTTTGCGCAAAGTCGTGCTCGTTGCGTCTTTTACAATGATTTAGCCAGCATGATTTATATGCTTCCACGGTTCTTGGTAAAGCACATTCTTCTGTAAAAGGAACATCTCGTAATCTTCCGTCAAAACGAGGGATGACTATTCTTCCGAACAAAACTTTGGTGGCACCAAAGTTCAACAGAAAGCTTTCACATCAAAAGAGTATGGTGGTGATACGTACAACCACTCACTTGCACGTGAAACAAAAATTAAAATGAAATGCTTGTTCCGCAAGATAAGTGAACGCGCACAACCGCTAACTCAGACTTTTAATTAAAATGAAGTGTGAAGTACAGCAGCACGACCAATCTCTATGCAAAATAGTAATAAACATGAAGTTCAGTATGAATAACGAGCTAGACCGTTCAACTGAACGCCACATTCGAATGAAACTTCGGAGCACTTGAGCGTGAAAAAATGCTTATTAAAGCGCGAAACTTAGCGGACATTTAAGCTCAGAAAGAAATGAGTTCAGAATGAGTCATGGAGTTTTTCAAAATTGCGAAAGCTGTTTGAGAAAAGCTAGAAAACATACCTGTTTCTATTTTGAGCCTATATTTCAGAATGCTCTTGTTATCTAATCTGCACTCATAGTTTCCGGAATCATCTCCACTAGCATCTAATAGAATGAGACCTCCTTCATCAGTCATAATAGTTCTCTCCGATTTTTGAACACTAAAGCTATCTTATAATTCATAAGATGGAGCCAGACTCACATTGAATCATCTTTGTTCCACTGACAGTTAAGATGACCTTTCATATGAATGCTATCTGAAGGGTAATGGGTAAGACGAACAGCTTGAGTAACAATCATGCAGTCTGATGTTCCCCGACCAGCCCATGATGATATCCATCTGAGAACAGAGAATAAGTATTGAAAATGTAAATGATATAGTACCCAGCGTTTTTAGAGTGAACCTTCTCTCTGGGATGACAAGAATCTCTAGCGGTGTTCCAACTACAGTATGGATCAACAGCACATAATGCACATGATTTATGAAGTGAGCAAGATGACAATGTGAATTGAGAAACTGCATGGCTGGTAGCAGTAAAAAAGAATTCTTAAAATTATTGTAAATGTATCAATTCGAAGAAAAACAGTACCTCCAGGTAATAAAGCAGCCGCATTAATTTGTCCACCTGCAACGATATCACGATGCTCAACAAGGCTCGACTTCCACTGATTGCCCTCCTTCCAGTGTGATATCTTCCACATTTTTTCTTTTCTTTAATCAAAAGTAAAGTTAGGTTGAGAAAAAAAGCTCTACCTTCCATCAAAAGCAAAAATAACGTTTTGCTCTGTTCGCACATCAACCAAAATAGTGGAAAAGACAACATCTCTGGTTGGGATGATGGGAACATCTCCAGAAATTGGCTCAGCCATTAGTAGATGTGATTTAGCAAAGTGCAAATCAGAATCAGAAAGCTCTTGAGAACTGCTTACACACTGAAAAAATGACTTAATCCGCGTTAGCTTTTTCTTTTCTCACGGTTCCTGGTCTATGAGCTGGGACAGCATCTGGTGGAAGTGGCAACCAGTTTGCTCCTGAACTTTCCATGAAAGCTCCATTGTGGAAAAGCTATAATTAGGGTAATTACATGTCGAACACCAAAACAAACTTGATTAATAGATTTCAGCGAGTATACACAAATAGCAGACGTTTGGAAAGCTGTATCAGACGTACTCATTCCTGCGTAGAATAATGTGTCATCCACGGATTCAACACGTGTGATGGATTCTATAAGAAAAACTCACGTGAAAATTATATTAGCAGACTGGTACTCACGAATATGGTCGAAATAATACGGATATTGGGCGGAAATTGAACAATTCAGTCTTGCCTTAACGAAAGATGTCCATACTTGGCGTAAGACAGCTCTTCCTCCAGTATCTTTCTGAAGTTCTCAATCAACAAAGAGAAAAAAGAAACTGGACTAACCTTGCAAACTCTAGCTACTCTACTTCGAATAATTCTATCGTTCAATCCTGACTCTACAGATATCTCCCGGAAAAAGAAGTATACATACTCTCCAATGTCAAATGACCCCACAAATTGTGGCTCTGAAAAATATCAATAAGAATAACTTATTCATCATGCTTTTTTTCTCGTTTTGGTTGTTTGGGGAGGGTGGGGGGAGGTTTAAGCAGTTCCGTTTTCTAACGTGTTATTTTTTTTTGAAGGAAAAGCCCCGTTTAGTTGTCAGCAAAAAAAAAATTTTGTTCGTTCTCAATCCAAGCTCTGAATGGAAGTAATTTGTAGAAGCGGATGTGCTAAATTCAATTATTCTATCTGAGCCGAAATCTGTTAAAGAGCCAGCAGGACAAAAATTGCTAACGATGCAGCAAATTAGAGCATGAGGGATAGATCATTTGAGAAATGAATATTAATATAATAATAAATATAATTGCTTAAATATAGCTTTAAACTCAATGAATACTAACCATTTAACCACTTGCTGTCTGTGTAGACGGTTCGCATACTCGAATGAGCTTCTTTCCCCTTGCTGATCAGAGATGGTCGGTAAATCAAATGGTTCTCGCCAGCCATTCCAGTACGGATACCTGAGTATATGGATGGGATTTCTCCTGGATTTCCCCATTCTAGAAAAAAAACAGTTTCTTTTGATGTTTCATCTTCAACACGATCATACCTACTAAAACGGCTGTAGAATTGACCATGGGGTCAGACGAGCAGATTCCAATTTCTGTTCTGGGATCTTGTCTGTCTTTCAAAGTTGAAGCATCTAATACACGTATTTCCGGCTTCATAGCAACCGATGAGCAAATCTGTAAGTTTGAGTATGATAAGAGTCGCTGAACATGTTAAATTACATATAAGGTTTCCTTTTGATCCTGAAGAGTCATAAATCGTGTTGATGGTTGACAGTCAGCATCTGAGTTTCCCACAGATCGACATTCCGATAGTTCTGATTCCGGTAACGCGATATGTTTCTCGGCAAACTGGAAGAGGAGATGATTTTATGAGGTGTCATAAGAGATTTTCTTTCAACAATATTTCGAATCAAAATGAACGCGCAGTCTTTGGCGGCAGCTGTTATGATAATTGGATAGCGGAAGATGGTGCATAGGAACAAAGAGAACACTTAAAACTGAATTGTCACTGAAGTCCTCTTTTCATTTTCATCCTATTTATTGTTTTTCACAATCAAACACATATTAACTCTTCTTCATCCACTCCAACTAGAGGGAGGTAAAACAAAACGTAGTATGGGAAATGCAATGAACCATATAAAACGTAGATGCTATATAATATCAAAGTAAAGAAAGACAGATGTTAGGTCGAACAAGCAGTAAATATTAGATAAATCGGTAAACTAACCAGATTTTTAGATGTATCATTTATGTTGTAGGCCCATAATCTGTATATTCTACTACGGGCTCCAACATACAATGATCCAGAATTGGAATCCAGCACCAGATTTCTATAGTCGAGCTCTCCACGGGCAAATACATTGTCTTAAAACATAGTTGTGAGAAATCAATGAATGTATGCTAATTGAAATGTTTGATCTCATCAATCAGATTGGACAACATAGACTTGTTGCATAACTCTTCTACCCATGGTCTCTAGACAATATTTATAAATTATTTCCAGATAAATCGAAAGCTTGAGCAAGAAAATCACATGCTGCTCCGTAAGAGGTTGTGAAATGTATACGTTTACATGACCCAAGTCAAACACCCATTTGGTTTCAAGCCAAACCAACAGAATAAGGTCGAACCACTTGAGACATTTACCATGTTGAACCGCTCGATAATTATGGTATTCTACTAGATCTTCAGTAAGATGAATCACATAAGAGCTGTCACATGTCTCATCCTAGTTCGTCCGTATACAGCGTCTTTCACTATACCCACTCACCAAAAAGAGGAGGAAAAATAAAAACGAAATGGAAAATTAGACAGAGAACAAGAAATAAACAATATGAAGGGTACATGTTTTTCATTTTTCTTGCTCATGGATTAGTTTTTCTAAACGACTTCTACGCAAGGGGATAAATTGGTTCAAGTTATTGATTGATTTCCAAAATCCTTATATATCTCAGGCTTGCCGACATTAATAAACAATAAAAAAAAACTATTGACCAATATAAAGAATAAAGAAGAATGTATGTCAACACTCTTTACTTCTTCTCTTAGGCCAAACATGCGGGTGAGAAAAGTAAAAAGCTAGCCGATATTGGTTGAAGCGGATGAAACAACTCTTGATCAACATTCTGAACCGAATTTGTTCACATGAATAAACTTTCAACAACTTCCCAAAAAAACATTCAAAGAGATGTACAAAAACGTTTGAATCTTCATGAAAAATACAAAAAAAACAAATTTGTTTACCTGGAGTTCGCAACTCAGTTGCTGTACAGAAGGAGAAAAGAAACAGTGAAGACCACAAAACTTGATACATTATCCAAACATAGGACAATACTTTGAACTAAAATATTTTGACTAAATCCTAAGAAGGAAAGGACTCTGTTTGCAAGGCGTATGGACCGGGTGGTCTATTCAAATGTGTTGTGGGCGGGACCCCCAAAATGTCCTCTCCTAACACTACCCAACACAATCGATCGTCCTCCAACGGACCTTCGTCTATCCCTCCATTCTTCTTAGCACATAAAAAATCCCTCTTGCTATCCCCGACATAAAACAGATTCAAAAGAACATACTACAGCTGCTATTAAGCATAAAGTTTACTTATTGTTCGAACGTCCTCCCCCATAATTAAGAAGATCACGCAGTGAAAAAAAAAATTTAATGTAAATGAGCAAACACAATAGAACCAATAAGAATGAATATCACAGGTGACTTATCAAAGAAGTGAGTGTTAATATACAAAAAACATCTTCAACGATACATATACAGAAAATTTGGAATGAAAGATAACTGGTTATGAAAAACTTCTTTTATCTTATTATACTGACTAGATTAAAACTCCGAAAGATATTGAATCAGGCTTTCGATTTTGCCTTCTCCAAACTGAGCCGTAAGGCTTCATCAGCGTTTGTACCGCTGGCAATACATTGAACAACTTCTTGAGAGACGTCCAAAACAGCCTGTAAAGGTAATTATAAATGACAGAGGTAAGATAAACAATAGAATCAACATATGTCACATATGGACATCATTTGTTTGCAGATTATAGGTTAATAGAAGTAACTAATATGATATAGAAAAGTGAACTAATGAAATCAAGACAAACCTGCTTATCAATCAGTTCACAATCGTTTAAAAATTGCATGGAAACCAATGGCTGTATACCTTGCTTGTGCAATGTTGACATTGCCTTTATGTAATACTCGATCTGAAAACACCTAATATACTTGAAAAAAAAACAAATGTAAACTTACGTGAACCCATCGTAGGCGAGGCAAATTCTGAAGGGCGACGTTCACAAACTGTTCCCTGTAACCCTTTTTTAGTAGCCTTTCCCTATACAGATGCTCTGTTGACGACGGTTTCGTTCCAATAACAGCTGGAAGAGAAGTGGTCGAAGATATCTGCGGATCTGTAAAGCAATTTTCAGGATTTTAAACAATCATAATTGCATACCAATTTTCGGTTTCAAACCATTGATTTTGTTGTCATTCTTCTTATCATCGTTAGACTATAATACATGCTTACAAAAAGAAAAAGTTCATTCACGAACTTTGAATGATAAAGAAGGATACGAGGGCAACCCTTTTGAACTTGTAGGATCAGCAGAAAAGGTTTGACAAGCCGGAGTGGTAGGCTCCGAGGAAACACCCAGAACCTGCACTTATGGTTGAGACTAGTCAACAGAATAAAACTGTTACCTGACTTAAGGCAGCTCTATCATCTATGGAGCTCCACTCCAACTCATCGAATACGTTAGCCTTAGCTTCGAAATCATCAAAACTTAACAAGTTTTGCTTAATAGCTAATGGTAACAGCGGAGTTGAAACACTTTCAGTTATAACAGTTGGTTGAAGTACCTCCTGCAATAACCTTAGCTAAGTCCCGAGTAGAGATCAAACAGACTTACAGTCGATATGAGATATGAAGAGGGTTTAGAAGTCTCTTTAACGACAGGTTTCGGATGAACTTCATTCCTATTCTGATACATTTCTCTAGCTCTTACTTCTACACTAAAAGGATACTAAAAATAAGCTAGAGTAATTAAAAGTTTTACTAGGTGATAAGCGTACCGTCTCGAAAGAAGGAAGAAGTGGCAACCTTGCTGATGGAAGACATATCTCAGATTTTGGGAGAAAGCCTTTCCCTATTTCCATAGGAGTATCAGCTATGTAATCTACAGAATGACTAATCAAACGGTTAGCAAGAAGGCAAACCTTCAACTCGCTTCATGGTTCATAGAGAATAGTCTTCATATACTTATCAAAGTTCTAATAAAATCGCATCTTGAGGATGAAACCTAGAATACAAACACTTTCAAGAATAATGAAAATGAGAAAGAAAAACAAGGAGAAAGTTCCATTTCAATCGAATGTTACAAATAAGCATGGAATAAAATCAAACGATCGAGCCAGCGCACGACGCATGATGTATACAAGCGTTCACGCGTATAACGTTCTTTGAAATTATATTTTACTATAATTACTCACATGATAATCGAATAGTTTTGAATTAATTTGGGAAAGCTTTCCTATAAATCTCAAAATGAAACTGTTGGAGAATTCCAATCTAGAAGCATTATCTTCGCGGATTAGTATATCTGCGATCGATTGTATTTTAGATCTAAAGTAAGTTGCTTGTTTAGAATTGTTTTATTTTTTTCAAATTTCAGAGTTGAAGCATACTCATGTAAAATGATTCAAAGTGATAAAAAGCAGTGGAAAAACGTTGATAACAGTATACCTGCTGATCGACAAGTTTGTATAATGCACATACAATATATAGAAAAATTCATTTCAGCCCTTATCACCTCCTGATGATTTTTTAAGCTTGAGTGCTTCTCCCATAGGACATTCTGCAAGAATGCGTCATCTATCGGAACCTAGTTGTTCAAGTTCTGATAATGACGGTGAAGATGTAACGAAACCTCTTGTTCTTGCGTTTTTACAAAGTTTTTTTAATATAGATTTTGGTAGATTCCATCTCGATGAGGACGCTGTTTGATTTAAGAGGAGTTTTAAGCAGTGCTTACTCCGACTACGATTTTAGTGAAGTTAAAAGTAGCTCTTTCTCTCTAATACCATGCTTGGAGGTTTAATACTCTCTATTTTCAATACATATCTATGATTTTAGGATGTTTGTGATGCTGTTGATCCGCGTTTCTCAGCAACAGTTCACGATTATCCTAACATCAAAGATGACTTGTGGGGTGCCGTAGAAACTGAAATCGAACCTTCTTCTTGTAAAATATATGGGTAAAACTGTCGAACACTTTGTATTCTAGTCGTTTCGTTTCAGCTACAAGTCAGAATTCAATGGTGATCCATTTTCTGAAGATGGGTGCATGTGGGGTTTCAGTTTCATTTTCTTCAACAAGGTACATAGTTCTAACATTTTATACTGAATTTCCGTTCCCCAGAACCTCAAAAGAGTTTTGCTTATTTCTTGCCGTTGCTTGTCGCAAAACGCGCATAATACATCTAGTGAACTTTGGGACCTTGATGAGGACTAGATTTCACCCGAAGTCTTTAGCATTAATTTTCTGCATTTCGATTAGTTTTTTTTCTTTTAACAGGATCGCTAGTTTTAGTCTCAGTTACATTTTTGCCAGAGCCGCAGGTTAGCTTCCGGTAAGCTTTTTCAGCTTATGTATAATTATTTGGACTCACATAATACTTAACCATATGATGTATAAAATTATGTATAAATGTCTCTTTATCTCAGCTTTTTCAATGCACAAATCGGTTCTGACCGGCTTTATATAATATTTCAAAAGTAGTAGCCGTATTAGAATAGATGCAAGATTCTTCTGATAATCCAGTTCCAATCAAAAAACTTAAAATCAACTCAGAAGATTCAGAAAATGGTCCATTGCACGATGAAATTCATGTAAGTCTCTTTACCTTTTCCGAAAATGCGTAATTTAATTTTTTTAGGGTGATGCACAATGTGGATATACATACCATGATCATCCGGCCGATATCCAACTTCATTCTTGGGGTCCCAATCTATCAAGTGCTTTAGAACAGTTGGTATGCTCTATGTACGGATATATGGTCGGAATGGATACGGTGGAGGAGGTTGTATATTTGAAAAAAAACTGCAAACGAGTGTATCTTCTAGACCTACACGTATTACTTCACAGCTACGGGCCACGATGAACACAGTTTAATATTTAGTGTTCTTGAAGAACCGCTGGTTGCATTCCAATCAGAACCGTTTTTCATAGGTAAACGTGTGGAGGTAACCATCTCAGAACCCAACGCTCATTAATATATTCAATTCAGGTTATAAGTGTCAAGCACGATCCTTTTGAAGTTGTTTTCTGTGCTCATGGAGAGTCATTTCAACATGGAAAGCATAAACAAGTAACATTCTTCAATTTTCTTCAATTGTTTAATTCTTTTCCTTTAAGCTCACAGATGTAAAAGCCATTACACATTCCAATATGCAGGTGATTGAGAAGGACTCGCTCATTAATATTTTCGTGATTGTGGATATATAAAACTTAATTATTTTTCTCTTTGTTCACACTGTTAACGGTCTTCTTACCGTTGTATCTTATCATTAGCTTTTGTACTCTCTCTAATTCGATTCATTCTTTAAGGGATGGATATCAAAAAAAAGGTTCTAGGTAGAAAGCTCTATAAACTCAAAGCTTCTGACCGGCAGGCCAAGAGCAGGAAAGCTGCTGCCGAACAGAAAGAAGAGAAGGAATATATTAAGGAAGAAGTAGAAGAAGCTGAAAATGTAGAGAACACTTCGGTTAGTAAAGTTTCAAATTTAAGTTCAATCGTTTATTTTCCAGTCAACCGATGACGCTATGGCAGCTCTTCTCGCTGATGAATCTTTTGCTTCTTTGAAAGGACAAGTGAATGATACTTTACTGGAAAGAATAGATTCCATGGGCTTCAAAACGATGACTGAAATTCAAGCGAAGTCTATTCGCCCTTGTCTGGAGGTGAGTCACATTTTTCCATCTTCACTGAATCTTTTTTTTTCAAGGGGAATGATGTCCTAGGAGCTGCAAAAACTGGTTCCGGAAAAACCTTAGCTTTCCTCATTCCTGCTATACAGCTTTTACATAGATTAGAATGGAAGAGAGTTAATGGAACCGGGGTCATCATTGTATCTCCTACTCGAGAACTGGCTATGCAAATTTACGGAGTCCTCAGCGAGCTGTTGCAAGGTATAGTTTGGAACTTTACTCGTGTTCTGATGAGTCTATTTAGGTACCAAGTATTCCCACGGATTAGTTATGGGAGGATCTAGCAGAGCTACCGAAAAGGAGAGACTTCTTAAAGGAGTCTCATTTTTAGTGGCTACTCCTGGTCGCTTACTCGATCATCTTCAAAACACCGAAGATTTCCTTGTTCGGAATTTGAAATGTCTCATTATTGATGAAGCTGATCGTATATTAGATATTGGATTCGAAATTGAAATGCAGCAGGTAAAATTCTGCTATCTGTCCCGGATTAACCCAAATTTAATACAGATTCTTCGTCATTTGCCTAAGAAAAGACAAACAATGCTTTTCTCTGCCACACATACACCTAAAGTAGATGAGCTAGTCAAAGCCGCGTTACATTCAGATCCTGTAAAGATATCTGTATCTGAAAAGAGTAGCGTGGCTACCGTTGATGGTCTTCAACAGGTTTTTTCCCATCCTAATTTTCTTACCTTTTATTTTTATTTTTAGGGATATGTTGTATGCCCCTCGGATAAACGATTCCTCATCCTTTTCACATTTTTGAAGAAAAATGTGGGCAAGAAAGTGATGGTTTTCTTCTCTTCTTGTAGTTCGGTGAAATTCCATGCCGAATTGTTGAATTACATTGATATAAACTGCATGTCCATCCATGTAAGTCGACCTTGTTTACATAATCCTTCATATACGTCTTTTAGGGAAAACAAAAGCAGCAGAAACGAACCACAACTTTCTTGCAGTTCTGTCAAGCTGAGAAGGGAATCTTGCTTTGTACAGATGTAGCTGCTAGGTTTTTTTGTTTGTTGTAAATATGATGATGATTGATCTGTTCAGAGGACTCGACATTCCTGACGTTGACTGGATCGTTCAATATGATCCTCCCGATGAACCAAGAGAGTACATCCACAGAGTTGGAAGAACTGCTCGTGGAAAAGACGGACGGTTAGTTGCTGAAATTAAACCTTAAATAGCTTAATTTTAGTGGTCATGCTCTGCTGGTTTTGAGGCCTGAAGAGTTGGGTTTCTTGAGATATTTACGAGCTGCGAAAGTAGTTTTGAACGAATATGAGTTCTCATGGGCGAAGGTAAACGGACAAGTGCTTTTGCGATTATCATAATATGTTTCTTTTAGATTGCTAACATTCAATCACAGCTTGAAAATCTGGTCGAGAAGAACTATTATTTGAACAAGTCTGCAAAGGAAGCTTATAAGTGTTACATTCGTGCATATGATTCTCATTCTCTAAAGGTGAATACAATCAGAGTAGAGTTTCTAACCCTTTTTCAGGATATTTTTGATATTTCCAAATTGGATCTTGTTTCTGTTTGTAAGTCTTTTGGATTTGCGGTTCCACCTTTCGTTGATCTTCCTATCTCACATAAGCCTAAGGTATTATCTCTATGAGATATAGTTGCAAAATCTGTGCTTTACAGGTCGAGGTTAAATCTCAGCTTTCTGGAGCAACTTATCGTAAACGTACTCATGAGATTGGTTTCAAGCAAAAGAAGAAGAAGAGGGTGACCGCTGAGATGCATTAATTTTTCGTTATTTGTTAATTTTCTTTGATTTTTAATTGTTACAGTTTCCTGTTGTTCATTATGTGTTGCTTGTTATTCATGCAAAATGAAGTTTTCTTATATCATATGAATAATTCGGCTGAAACTAGATTGGAGTGCCTTCCACACTAGGCATTTCATACCCCGCCCGCTTTTCAGTTTCAACCTTAAATCTTTTTTCATGCGGATTTTCTTTTTTTTTCTTCAAGCTGTCCTCATTACCTGCATACCTGTACCGAATGGACAACTAGGTAATCGACAAAAGCGGCTTAAAACGGTAGTATTCAGGTAATGTGGAAGTTGAATGTGGAGAAGATACGATAGAGGCTGTGTTTCTGACTGAAGCTCCATTCTTGGGTTTGCTCGATACCTTATTCTAACCCGCCTCATTTTCAGGACGAATTTTTGTAATAGGACATGCTCTTGATCCCAATTGTGTTTCGAGGGAAACGGGTAGAAGAACAACTTCTATTACGATTAATAAAACAGAATGTGGAGTGGTGACAACTCGATCTTCGGATCCCAATGGATTGTTTTCCACTGTGAAAATTATGATATCCTTCCACACTGACTTTGTTACTAAGGTTGACAGAGTAAGTTCAATAGCGAGTGCAGGTTCGAAAAACTTTTTTCAAGGGATATGAAATTAGCTGTTTCTACATGGTAGCCGATAAAACGGTCACATATCCTTTATCTGTAGCTCCAGAGGTTGTTTCAAATGTTCAATCTTTTGTAGAAATTTTTGTAGGAAGTAGCTGCAATTAATGAATTCGCTGAAATACCTCGTTGTCGATACGAAGTTTTTACATTCCATATTGGAACTTTATATTTGTTTTTTTCTCAGGTAATTGACATAAAAACATCGAAGCAAGCTTCTGTTGTTACTGTGGGAACTCCTTTACTCCATCGATGGGTTTGTGACAGCGGATCCCCAGGTGCTGTCGTAGGGAAACGTTTGTGTATACCAGAAAGTTTAAGACCATTGGTGTATGTCAGTGCATACCTGTGAAGTCCAAGATGGTTCAGGAACTCATTTCAAAGTTTTGGATGATGCAGGGTTAGCTTTAGTCTCGATTCATCTCTTATTTAGTTCTTCTGTAGTTGCTCAGTCGATAAGTTCTTACTAAGAAATCTGGAATATCCAGGTAATTTAGAAGCTCAAGTTGAAGCTCACGCTTTCAAGTTTGCTGATAAGGTAGCTAATCACGAACTCAAAAGGTTTTAAAATGACTTATCAGGTTGTCACAAACTTCCAATGTAGCATTCGGCTGGATATCAAGAACGGAGAGTGTCCAGTGCGACAGACTCTTCGTTACTTTACTAAACCCTGATGTTCCAGATCCCTAGTTGTCGCGAAACGTCTGGAATATCTAACTCTGCACCTACCAGCAAACCTAAATCTCCCGCTCCGAGAAGGGGTAGATCTATTGGCTCTGTGAAGGAAGTGAGTGATACTTTTGTCAATGAGAAAAAGAGTAGCTTGTGCAGATTGCTGCTGACGCTAGTGGAGTTGTTGAGATAGATGTTCGAGCTCCGCAAGTTGATGTGATAGATGCTCAAGCAGGTAATTTGAATAAAAGCGTATTTCGGAGAGCGTGTTTTCTAGATTTTGGATTCATCTCAAATGACGATGTCGTTTTGAATCTCAGAGAAGTGAATTCAGAATTCTGTGTTCCTCGTCATTTTTACTTCATTGGAACAGCTCTCGTGACTGGCATAGTGGTGATGTTATCTTCAGCCTTAGCTTTATTATTACGAAATCGCAAAAATAATTGATAAATAAGATTATATAAAACTACATGTGCAATAAAGATTGATTATTATTAATCTTCGTTATTCCAATGTTAACAACAGCTTTTATATTTTATCTTTTTTCATAGAACTAGTTGTTCTTCATTAAGAAACTTTCTAATGTCCACAAAACCTGTCTTCCTTAAAAATAAAGATATTATGCATATCTAGAAAATGAAAGTCTGAGAGATTGCATAACAAGATCACAATGCTGGCTAAAATATGATCAGCCTGACGGCAGAATAATGCTTCCTACTTCCAGGGGGAATTCCGAAAAGTGCTTCTGATTCTTCGACAGTGTTATATCATTCAGAGAAACATGCAAATGCTTTATAGTAACAGTGTCAGTGAAAATGTTTCCCGCGCAAAAATGCCTTAAATGATACAAAAAACCATTGACAGGTTGGTATCTGGTGTATATGTTAACTTGAAACATGGCCGCGTGGCGCAATGGATAACGCGTCTGCCTACGGAGCAGAAGATTGTAGGTTCGAATCCTGCCGTGGTCGTAACTTTTGTATTTCCTTTTCAGATATCGTAATTGGATTACCTTCCTTTATTAAGTAAATACTTTTTTCGGTTCAACTTTTGCTTAAGTTATTAAAATTGTCCTTAGCTGCCATGAATCAGACTATCAATATGAAAACATAATAAGCTTGAAGCCTGTATTCACTGAGTGAAGCCAAAATTCATACCCTCTGTTAGAAAAACAGTTTATACGAAATATGAATCTAGTCTCACTATGTATTTGCATAAGATTGAATCAATTAGTACTTCAATGAGTAACGTAGCTGGAAAAATATTTAAAAACACTTTGGTTGTTATGATTTTCTAATCGTGCTCCATTACACCTTTTGTGCTCGGTTGCGAAATATAGTATGCGACTAAATTCGTAAGCGAAGTGAAAATTCGCCAATTTATTTTTAATATTATTGCTTCAACGTTTTAGTTTCAGAAATGAAGGTGGATTTCAAAGTTAAAACCAGAAGAGGAAAGAGGTACTTAGAAGAGAAGGCTCCTAAAACAATTGAGAACGACAAGAAGGCAATTTTTGTTAAAGGAGGAAAAACATCCCAATCAGTCAGTGATGTCTTAATTGATTTATACAATTTGAAAAAACCCCTTGCTCTGAATATGAAAAGGTATTAGTTGAAAAAGCAGGCTTAATATTGTTTTATATTGAAGACGAAATCCTTATCACCCTTTCGAAGATGAGACGCCAATAGAACGACTTGCCGAAAAATCAGATTCTTCTCTGTTTGTATTTGGTAGCATTTTTTTTATATTCGGTATGTAAATTTTTTTGTTCCAGGTTCTAATTCTAAGAAGCATCCAAACAGTCTTGTTTTTGGAAGACTACATGATAGTCATATTTTGGATCTTGCCGAACTACGTATTACAGATTATAAGCCAGCTAGTGAATTTGATGTAATCATAAGTTCAATCGTGACTACTGCAATTTGAAAGAATGTTATAGACTCAACAGTTCGCTGTAGGTAGTAAGCCTTGCTTAGTGTTCGAAGGAAGTGAGTTCGAAAGTGATCCCGACATGAAGAGGGTTTCAAACTTACTTGTGGACTTTTTCCGAGGAGCTGTAGTTGACACGGTTAGTTTTTTTATTCGTTAGTCTCCTACTGATTTTTTACAGGTTCGTTTACAAGGATTGGAACACGTCATTGTGTTCACTGCTAAAGACAAACAGATTTTCATGAGAGTTTACAAGTAGGTTCAACCTCATTCTACAAATTTGCATAGTCAAATATAGGACTATCTTGAAAAAGTCAGCAACTAGTTTACCAAGAGTTGAACTAGCTGAAATGGGTCCTAGCATTGATTTCATCCGTGATAGAACCAAATTGGCTTCAGACAGTTTGTATAAACAAGCTTGTAGGAGACCAAAGGAGCTTCTGGTAATGTCGACTATCTTGTACATATAAATTTTTATTGTTGTAGGCCAAAAGAAAGAAGAACACATCAGAAGATGTGTTTGGAAACAAGCTTGCTAGAGTTCATATCGGAAAGCAGAATACCGATAGTATCCAAACTAGGTATACAAATTTGCTGCAATCCAATGCTATGAAATGAGTTTCAGAAAAGTCAAAGCTCTTAGAAAGGGAGTCGAGGCTCCAACCGCCGAAGCTGAAGCTGAAGAAGGAAGTGGAGATGACGATATGGAAGATGACGAATAGAAATTTATTGTTATACTGTTGTTATGTTGCTCGTTGTTATGTTTATTTCCAAAATACAATAAACGATTTTTTTATATAATCTTCAAGATTGTTCTGTTGCTTTCTTTAAATGATGATAAGAAGGTAAAAGTTTTCCTACAAGTTCTGGATGCATAGCCTAGAAACAACATTATTATTATCATTATGAGAGGAGTGAGCACAACCTGTGGGTTATCATGCGCTATTCTTCTGCAGTTGTTCTCTCCATACACAACTGTTTTCTCAGGAAGCTCCGTATCGAGTAAAACTTCACATTTTGGACCCAACGAACACCCATTAGCTTAAATTTGATTTCTCATTGTCATATTCAAAGTATGAACCTACTTATAACAGTAAGAGCACCTACAACACTGCGAACATGAAAAACATTGTTATTTCCTACACTTTTTGCTCTAACGACTTAAATTAAGTTATAAGAACATTCGAACAAACAGCTCGTTCGCACCTGAAGCTACTTCCATCACATTTTCATTTCCAATGGTCATAACATGGTCAGAATCGCTCGATCTGGAAGAAAGTAACACTTTTGAAGACATCCTATAGCCTTACGCATTTTCTATTAAAGCTTTCTCTTCTATTAAGTTCTTTTCACCGATAACTATTGGACCTCTCGTTGCTCTTATTATAGCAAAAGGATGAATAACTGTATGAGGACCAATTGTTATATCACCTTCAAGTGTAGCGGATCGACAAACAATTGCTGTAGGATGAATTTTCAGAACAGGCTTAGAAGTTGCCCTGAAAGGAAACGATTCTTAAAAGCACTTCTAGATGAAACTTACATATTCACCGCTATTCTATTGGAATTAGTTTAGTGAATCAATTTCTATGTAAAACTCAATGTTAGTCTGTGTTTCATACAAACGTTGGCTCTTATTCGATTTTTGAAGCACGCGCAGTTCATAAATAACACAGACGATAGTCTGCGTACGTGTAATATTTCGAAGCCATTCAAAACATAGATTCTAATTATATTACTAGTTTTGCCAATTATGGTTAACCTTTCTCTGTGTTTCTCGGAATTATCCGGGATTTGACTTTCTGATTACAATTATCTTTTACTTATAAGGAATCCACTCTGATTGTTTCGAGTTATCACGCTCTTTTCTATGTGTTCTATTATATCGTTATATTTTTGGATAATACTTACTTCCTCTTGGGTGACAGAGTAACACTGTTTTCATCGAATTAAGAAAAAACATCTGTACTCCTATTTACTACCTTTTTCCTTTCGGACAGTTCTCAATAATATTAATGTTCACATGTTTCTTACATATCACTTTACTTGTTACTTTCATTGATAGCGGGGGACTTGTTTACTTGGACTTTACCTTTATTGGACTTAAATGAAATAAATTCAACACGACACGAGTGTTTTTTAAAATCTTTTGAAATCTACTGAAAAGAAGCTTACTGGCAGGCAGGCGTATGGCTATGTATGTGTGTGTGGGAACGAGACGAGTGTTTAACACCAATAGTTTTTTATTCTATTCAAATGTTGAATAAATAAGAAAAGATTTCAACATGTTTCTAGTTGAGTTTCGCTGGATAAAGGCATGGAATTTCATTTTTCTTTTAATATAACCCCTGGGGCGTTTTGCTTTGAACATCCAAGCTCCGCCTTCCAGCCGTTGGAGTCCCATCGATTCTGCTGCCGGGCGCCGGCGTGCACCGCTTCTTCGCCGCTTATGGAGATGTTATTCGTTTATATTTTTCTTTTCATTCCCATCAAGAAGCGCTTATGATGTTTTTTGTAAATCTCTGAGTTGTTTTTTGGAATCCGTTGAACGCGCTCAATTAATTAGTTAAATTCTGAAAATCTTTTTGACTTTTCTTTACATGCATGTTTGTTTTGCGCCTTTCTAAATTCAAAAGAAATCGATGAAAAACATCTGAGCTTGGAATTTTGAAACTTTCTTCAAACCTTTCTCACCTTGTTTGTAAACCTTATCAGTAAGGTATATAAATTAAAATTTTATCGTCAGGTTTTACAACTTTTTTGATGAGTTTCTCTTTCACGTAATCGCTTAAGGCTACTATGGCGGGCTTTTTAATGAAACAAATGGTTGGTAACCAACTTAATGAGGTTACTGGTGCTCTTGGTGTTGGCAGCAACGGAGACGATGGTGCCGAAAAGACTGAGACTGGCGAGGACCCAGAGGCATGTTAATTTGTTCTCGTCGTCTTAATGTTTCGGGAGAATATCCTCTTGAAAATCTAGAGAATGGCTGACGTAGTCTTTGACAGCAATCTTGTAGGTCGTTGCCGCTCGATTAGAGCAAGAAGAACGACGTAAAGAGAAACATCGTAAGATGGAAGCGGAGAGAGAAAAAATGCGTCAAGGAATTCGTGATAAGTATGCGATTAAGAAGAAGGAAGAAGGTCCTGCCATGGACTTCACTGAAGGCCGAATTGGAGGCCCCAGAAAGACTCCAGAGGTGCTCTTTCTTTGCATTTGTGAACATCTTGTCGTGTTTTCAATTATTTTTACTAGAGGACTTATTTGAATTTGGACTTTCCAACTTTTTAGGAGTTGGCTGCTGCTATGAACGCGGAGGATGACAGCTTAATTGGTCAACTTGGTCTTACTGAGCATGTTGAGAAAGCCAAAACTTTTGCAACTGGTGCCTTTGAGACAGTCAAAGGATTCCTTCCCTTTGGAAAATAACCTTCTGTCTATAATAATCGTAAAACGATATATAATCTTATAAGCATTTTACTTAATAACTAGTTTTAATAATTTTCCAACTCTAGTCCGAGATTGTCTTAAACCATTTTAGTTCTCATTGTGTTGTCTTTGCTTTTTCTTGTGATCCGAAGATCTCAAGACTCCATCTCATGTAAATTTTATATATTTAATAAAGGGGAACATTCTTTTAAAGTGATGATTGATGAATTGAGCGTTACTCTGTCTTTTGAGGGAAATAATAATGTCCTATTGTCTTCGTCGTTTGATTTTTGAATCTGTTCGTTATTCAGAAGTTATGAGCTCTCCTCCACCACCTAGTATTGAGCAAATTGAGAAATTGGAGAAAGATAAGTTCCCAATTCCTTCTTGGGCAGTAAAACCACCTCCAGGATCCCATTTAGATGTATTGAAAAATGATCAGCTGATTCAAGTGAGTTAGTTTTCATTGTGTAATTTTAGTTTCTCTGCAGAAGCTCATGATTGATGAAAGGAAGGCCTATTACTTTGGTCGCAATCCCAAAATGGTAAAGCTTACACGCTTGAATGCAAATGTCTAGCAATTTCCAGGTAGACTTTGCAGTTGAACATGCGTCATGCTCAAGAGTTCATGCTCTTCTTCTATATCATGGAGTTTTGAATAGATTCGCGATTGTTGATATGGGAAGTAGTGAGTTTTTTGTGTTTGATGTATTGAATTTCAATATCCGTCACATGTGTTTTCCCACTTCTATTGATTTCCTATTTCAGGCCATGGAACATTCTTTGGGAAATTCCGCTTAGAACCATTGCAAGTAGTTTTTGTGGATATCGGAACAACTATACAGTTTGGAGCTTCTACAAGAAGGTATTGAGACATTCGTTTGGGAACAATGTTGATAATGGCCTTTTGTAGATATACCCTCAGAGTTCGGGTTGAGAATAGCAAGGATGGTGAGGATGAAGAGAAAGAAAAATTACCCAATGATAAGGAGTTGGAGGTTGCATATAGTTGTAAAAGATGGCTTAAACGCATTTGCTATATCTAGGATCTCACTGAATATAATACGGCTATTAATAGAAGAATACCACAATTACCTATTTCGGAAGAGGAGGCTCGACGAAAAAAGCGGCGTCGCGGCAATGTTTCTTTCATAGAGGAAGAAGACGTCATTAATCCAGGTTCTATTTCCTCATTAGAAGTTGTCACTCAAAATGTTTCCAGAGGATGTTGATCCTTCCGTTGGTCGTTTCCGCAATCTTGTCTCCACTGCTGTTATTTCTAATAATCCCGGGAAACGCATAGCTGTACCTGTCAATCGGGGTAGTGAACCTCAGAGAAAGGTTTGTTGGACCTCTTTTTTGTAAAAAAACACAAGAGAGATATGCAGATTATTCGACCTGGTCGAGATTTCACTTTCACTTCATCTAAAAGTTCTAGTCTCAGTGGAATATCCCTGAATGCTGCGCCTGATTTAGAGTTATATTGCCAGTCTCTCCCAAAACCAGGAGTACATTCAAGTAAGTTATTGGGACTTCACGAAAAATCTATTTTCACTTATAGTTGGTCCTGTTCCCAGCGCAGCTGGTGCAGAAGACGACGAACCTCATAAGAAAAAATATGCAAAAGAAGCCTGGCCAGGACGTAAGCCCTTGGCTGGTGGAGTTCTGTGAATGGAAGATTCTGTTGGTTTTGCATTTTTACTTGCTCAAAATACCTTTCTGGATCTGAAATCTTTCTTTGTTTATTTATTTGTTGTACAAAACAACAGTGTTATTCATGTTTCCACGAATCGTGTATGTTAACCATCTGGCTACTTTCTGATTTCTCCCGAATAAATAATAATCCTACTATTCTGATAGCGTTTTGTTTTTATTCTCATTTAGAGAAGAGAAGTCAACTGACTCAATTGAAGAAAGTCGATACTTTCATCAGGATCTCTTAATTTTGGCAATATTCTTATTTACAGGATACCAGAACTTCAATTATCATATTTTTCGTTAAAGGATGATCATTGGTTATAGATCACTGAGACAGTCTGGCCAAGTAGGAGAATTCGAACCGTTTTTTGTTTCGAGATGCAGTATGCATCTCACATATTTTACATGTTTTCAAATTTAGTGCTTTACAAAGTCATGCTTATTGATTGTTTTGGAGATGGACGAGTTGCTTTGGCTTCAACCCTGTTCTGGCATTTCTTCCACTATGTTCATCTTTTCAGCCTTTTCTTTTTTTCAAGAGAAGAGAGCAAAAGAGGAGAAGAAGAAAGACAATGACATCAGCTAAGAGTGTCCAAACGGGGAGCATAGAAAAGCTAGAATCAATAAGTAGTCGAGCTCTAACAGTGTCATAGTTGTCCTTGTCTTTTTCCTGCAATTTCGGCACTCAACGTTTACTTGCACCGATAATAGGATTGAAATAAAACGGGAGATCCGAAAAAAACGTTTGAAAGAATACATTATCGCCTTAAATTTTAAAATTCAGACGAGTACACGGATGCTATGGCTCCTACAATGAAATTCGGAGAGAAACGAATTTCTGAGTCATGCGGTGAAACACGTGAAGCAGCAGAAATTCGAAGCAGAATTTTCTTCTTCGATCTCTTGTGCTTCATTTCTTCCATAATCGGGACCAATAACCACTGTATGTTTCTGAAATGGGCTTCCCTGTAAGGCTTATTGTATTCGATGAATCGTTCACTAAGAGTATAGTAGTTGCACGCGTATTAACAACTTCTATATTCTACGTTGC